AAAAAAAAAAAAAACGGGGAGCGCGTCCACTTGACGCTTCCGTTTCGAAGAAAAGTGTTAACTTTAAACCTGCTCTCTCCCAAGTATTCTCTCTCAAATGAACCTGCATGTCATGACAAAGAGGGGTGGAGGATGTGTCGGGAAACAGTCACTGTGAGAAAACTTATTGCAAGCATGGTTGCACGAAATTTTTCCATGATGTGTGTTGTTAAATAACAAGCACTCTGTATCGACTTAGAATTCATTGTCGACCAAGAATCTCGGCAAGAATGGGCAGTTGTAAATTTACAACATATGTTATAAATCGAAATTACAAAATGTGTTGTAAATATTTCATAAGTCGCAGATACGAAATAAGTTGTAAATGTTTTATAAATCAAAAATACAAAAAAATAAAAATAAAAAATAGTCACACAGAGGAATGCCGTTGTGTGTGGTGAGTAAAAAATCGCATTAAAAGCATACAAACAAAACGGAATCGCGGACCCTAGAGGTGTGCGCATTTCATCACATCCTCGGCGAAACAACTCCCCCTCAGAGTCGTTCGCTGTGATGGCCCTTCCTTAAATACCTCCCCGGTGGCAAATGCAACTGACCCGGCTCGCGCTCCGCTGGTGCGCATCACAGTGATACCTCCCCTCCCTGATGAATGACACCGCCTGGGGGGCAGACGGGAGGCAAGAGAGGGGGGAGAGTCGCCCTAATGCCGTACGCACGCTTACCGCCCGCACGCAAACGCATTTGAAACACGGTCAAAAATACGAGATGAAAAATAATCTGTTGTGAATAAATGATGAAATGTAGGCCGGGCGCGTGTCCGAACGAACACCGCAGTGCCACGCGGGTTTGACCACTCCCTCCGCCTGCAAGGCGCCACAGCCCCTGCTGCCTTAGAGGGTATGCACACCCTCTCTACACAGCGACGTCTGCCCTGCTCCGATTCACCGGCGGCACAGGGTGTTCCACGCCGGCCCCGCACCGAGCCCCCTGCTTTACGCCGCGATACTGTACCGTACGACAGACGTGCCGGGCGGGTTTGCCTATCCTCACCAACCGCGGCGCCCTGCTGAGGCGGCCTCGAAGTGAGCAACACGCCAAAGACGCCGTGCATGCGCTGAACGTACAGAAACGTTTCGGTTTCCAAAGTTTCAAAACAGATTCTTCTTGAGATGTAAAGATAGGTGTATCGGCTGCCGACTCGTTTCGCGAGATTTTGTCGCTGCCTTCGCGTGGTAGAGAGACGTGGCGTGCGGCCGCAACGTGGCGGGGCGACGCGTGGCGTGGCCGGGCGAGTCTCGGCTGAGCTGGACGGACTGACGGAGTAGGGCGGAAAGGTAAGTCTGGCAGGAAACGGTGGCCTTGAGCTGAGCGGACCATTGCATGTTGGAGCAGGCGGCGAGAGAGCGAGAGGGAGAAGGAGCCTGCCACGAGGCTACGCTACTGGCTGCCCGAACAAAAGGCAAGAAACTTCTCTAGAAAATAAAAACAAGACCAAAGACGTGCTGCGCCAACTTTTAGTGGACGTTGTTTTATTTCCGCCTTTTTCTTTTAATTTAAGGCACCTCCAAGAATAATCTGTATAGTAAAGTTAGTTACTTGTTATAAAAATAAGTACGACTTTTCGGGCCAGGCTCTCAACCAGCTTAATGTGGTTTTCAGATTAATTTTTCCCCTCTCTTTTCAGGAAGCGTGAGAGGTCATGTGCGGTGGGCGTGGTGGTGCCGCGCTGGCGGTAGGGGAGCAGCTGATAAGCCTGATAACGCCCGGAGAGGGCCCCGCCCGCGCCCCGCCGCCGCGCTGCCCCCGGGGGATCGTGCGGGTGCAGCAGGAGGGCGAGGTGGGCCTTGGACTCGGGCTCAATGCATGATACAGTGAGTCCATCTTTCGAGTCGATTCCTTCCAATTCGAGCCGTTTGTCTACCTCCGGCGTGGCAATGCATCGCTTTATATATCGTCACGGGGGTATTTAAGACGGGGAGATAAGACGCAACGGGCGGTAAAATATGAACAGCTTTCGGCCCCCAAGCTCTGCTCACGTAGCGCATAGGCAACAACAAGAACAAGACGAAACAACGCCAAGAACACGCCCCCGATCGTATCGGAGGACATCACTGCCACCGATCTGCTCTCCGGGAGCCGAAACATGTCTGCTCTGAATACGAAGCAACTTTTGGAGGTTGAGATGCTGGGTGGAGGTTGAGCTGCGGCCAGCGCGCGCGGCAGCAGCAGCGCAGTGGCATTGATCTCTTTTCTCCCTTCCCAGAGGAGAGCGCTCAATGGACAACCGATAAATCGCGCCCCGATACTACATCATCGAAAAACTTTGGGGGAAATTAAATTATAGTCTTGGTCCTGCGTATCGCCCCACGGTATCGGCTACTGGAAGCAAAGATTACACCAAAACCTCGGCGAAATGGGCCGATGCATTGTGCGCGGGGGAGGCGCAGCCGCGGCGGGGTAAATAGTGCACTTCAACAACCCCGGCGGGGCGGTTGTCGTGGCGCATACGGCGGAGGGGCCGGCAGATGTGCTGATAGGTTCACCTGTTGTGGGGCGGGCGGGCACACCCCTCCCGGCGCGGCAACGGCGGCCCCTCGCGCTGCTGTGTTGTCTCGCCGCAAATTATGTCGACGCGGAAGGGCCGCCTTCCCCCGCCCCTTCTCCCGCGCTGCCCTGCCGCGGCCTCTTCCGCCTCCTGCAGGGCTGCCAACAACCACCCTCCCCCTCTCTCACACCTCCCGCCATAGGGCCGCGCACACACCCCCTTGTCTTGTATGCCTTGCAGTGCAGCCACCTTTAAATCACCCCCCTTGCTGCCGGGCAGATGCTTTATGGCATCTCGGTGCATCTGCCCGGTGAGCGAAAGCAAAAGTGGAGTGGCCACCCTGCTGCTGCTGCAGCCCGGTGATCGCCATGCTGACCGCAGCAGGCCTGCCCAGCCCACGCGGCAATAAAACGCGCTCCAAAGCAAACGACTGCAAGCGGGACCTTATCAGAGCCCCGCGGCCGTTCATCACTGATTTTCAAGCGCGCTGCTAAACACACGGTTGGGCCATCAGTTATGACGCCTTTTCACAGCAGATAGCGCCGCGCATCCCTCACACACATAAACGGTCCATCTTAAGTGTGTGTGTGGGGGGGGGGGGGGCATGTGTGTGTGTGTGAGTGTGTGTGTGTGTGTGTGCGCGCGCGCGCGCGAATGGACGCGCTGGCGAGCCTGTGTGTGCGTTTATCATTTTCATACAAACTCGTTGTACGCTATACTGGCTGTTTTGCATAGACTGACACCAGGTGACTCATTGATCATATCATTTCTCTTATCTAATCTAATTTCAATTCCGTGAAGGCCATTTTTTTTTCTTCATAAAAAAGGCGTATTTGTATATATTTACTACATAGACTGGAGTCGCAGCTGGGGGCGTCACATAGATTTGCTGCCCGCCCTCTCTCTCTCTTCCCCCTCGCCGCCCCACCACCGCGTCGTCGCACGGCAGCGCCCCCGCGCGCGCCACGCCCCGCACGCCGCCGCTGCTGATATTCGGGATTTATGACAGAATCTCGTGACTAAACTGCAGCCTGCACGCGATCATGGCCGGGCACCCCGTGCCGCACCCCGAGCCCCGCCGCACTGCCGCCCCCTCCGCGCGTGATACCCCTCCCAACGTCTACCTCTACTTTGTCACGTTAGACTGAACGAGCCGTATCTGTGCCCCTGTCGCTCGCACCTACGCCTCGTCCAAAGGAAAGGAGGGAAAAAATACACAACCCGCATCTTGATAAGAAACGGCGACAAGTTACGGCGCTTGTCGGTGGCCGAAGGCGGGGGAGGGGAGAGGGGGGAGTTCGGCCATATAGGTGGCTTACTTGCCTCACCACCAGCCAGTAGGTTACGGGTAGGTGTCGCAGGGGGAGGGGGAGGGAGGTATACCAAGCGGACAGACTGTCCAACTGAACAAGGCCGGGCAGGCGCTGTACACACTGCTCTAGCGGCACTGCAATGGACCACGCCCTGCCCCGTGGCGATCCTTGTGGCATTTTCATCTCTCGCAGTGATGGCTGCTGCGGCGAGGTTCGAAATGATACAGGAAAGTAGGAGAGTATAGTGAAAAGGTGCGCGGTCAAATAAAAAAGTTATTAAAATAAAAAACACGAAAAAAACACAAGGAAACATCATGATATGTCACCTTTGGTCCGTTTCCAGCCAATTAAGGAATTCATTTAAAAAGGCGGTGTTATAAGTGCTCGAAAGGGGTGGTGCGTCTTTCAAAATCAATGTCGGGAAAATAACACAGGTGCAGGCGTCTATCTCGAGGAAGTTCGACTCCATCTGCTGGGCGCGTCTTTCTCTCTCTCTTGATTTCTTTTTTGTTTCTTTCGTTTTCCGTGTCGGAGGTACCTCAACGTGAGGCGCGGTGCTCGTGGACGATGGCGGTGGTGTGGCAGCACTGTACTGCTGCCTCCACCTGTGTTTACCGCCCGAGAAAAATGAACAAGAAAAAAAGGGGGGAAGGGGGGAGCCTTCGGAATATATTAAAGTCATTACCTCATTCTTTTTGTTCTGCTGCATCGCTGCTTCCTTTTCCACCCATGTAGACTGTTCTGTCGGCTGCTGCTCCCTGGCGGTGGAACTCCCAACTACGCGTCGGACCCAGGTACCCGCTCGGCGACTTCCCGCCCAGGACGCGTCCACTCTTGGGATCCTTCTGCCTCCGTCCCGCTCCTTACGAGTCGCGTGCTGGAACAAGAGAGAGAGAGAGAGAGGGAGACGCTCGCGATTCCGTTTCCGGACCAACCATCAGTCTGCGACATGACGCATGTCGATAATGGCACGAAAGATAATGTGGGAAGGATGCACGGCGCAACCTTGACACATGTCAAGAGTTTACACTGCCGCGTTCCACCGCAGTCGGCGAGAAAATATCACAAAGCCTCAGGTAAAACTAAAACGGTCATAACGTGACGTCATATTCACGGTAAAAATAGTTTCTTTTATTTCAAGACCTGGTCTTGGATGCCACTGGCGTTCTATCCATAGGATCGAAGAGCGCGGGTCTTGAAATACAAGAAACTTTTTTTTTTAGCGTGTTAAAGCCGACCATGCAAAATGTCGGTGACATAAATATGACCTCGTCTTGTCTGTCGCTAGACATGCAGAGCACGATAAGCCCCGCGTAAACCTAAACTGACAGAACAACTTGTCCAGATAAGCGTAAGAGAGGTGTAATGGAGTGATCGGTGGGGTGTGTTGTTTTATGTGACTGTCGTTGTAAAACCGTATAATGGCGGGCATTAAACGACGCGACTTGCTGTCCGCTCGCGACAAAAGGCGGGCGCGCTGCTGTGTGTCCGTGGCACGTCATGTGAAGCGACCAATTAACTTGACATTACCTAATCCCACGAAAACACATGGGGATGTGCGCGCGCAACAGGCAACAGTTACGCCCCTCCTAGCCCGGGCCAGCCCTGGCCCCCCTGGGGGCAGGCAACCTGGAACCACCGCGGGTAGGTCAGGGATTAAAGTGCCATCACACGGGGCCGGTAATGCGAGCTCGGAGAGCCTATTTGTGAACGGAATTACATGTATTACCTTCCCTTCTCACTTTCACGGCACCTCTCGGCACATCTCACTGCTTGTCTGCTGCCTGCTCACAGAGCAATGACTCGGAATGACATAATGGGGGCGCTTTACAGGGGTAAAATGCTCGTGCCCACTCCATCAATCATCATTTCCACAGCTAAAACCATAGTATTCAAAAGCGATTTTCATAGCCGCTAAAACAAGCAGAATCACATATTTTCACCAATTACAATAACAAACCCCCACCTCTGTAAATGTTCAACGTGTGAGGGCTCTAAAAACTTTAACTCTTGGATCATCAAACTTTTGTTTTCGAGACGACCCCGCTGCTGCTTTCTTCAGTCGTCTTTCTCCAAAGACGGTGGCCGTGACCGTCAACCGCCCGGCGAGGTGGCGGCGGCGGCGGAGCGCCGGGGGACTGTTACAGTAATCGGCCTGTAATTGCTCTACCTCCGCAGGCTCTCTGGGTCTGTGCGGCGAGGCTCAGCCTATTGTGCGAAAGGTGTTTAACAATCTGATCTACGATCCGTGCGGCCGGCGCGGCCAAAGGCGGCCAAAGGCGGCCAAAGGCGGCGCCTTCTCAGGTATAACAAGCGCCACAGAACAGAAAACGCATATCGGACTTGTTTGTGAATACACCGCGTCATATGGCCCGCGGCGCCCCGGCGGCGGGTCAATGTCAACGGCAGTTTGTTGCCCCGATAGTGACGCTTATTTGACATGCTAAACGCCCCGCCGGGCGACACCGGCACCTTCCCCGTCCAGCAAGAAGAGAGTCGCGCTGTTCGCGCGGGTTTTTGTTTGCCGACGACACAATCTTAGAAACAGTTGGCTTATTTCTTACCCATCCTTTCCACCGATACTGTACAGCGAGTGCTTTACAATCGATTCCTCCTGAGGCGATGAGGGTATTAACCTGCGCTGAATAAGAAAAAAGCGTGCTTTCAAAAAGAAATTTGAAGTGCAACCTACTGAGTTGTCACACAAACCGTCCAATACACCATTTGAATAAATAAAAACAAAGTATTTTTTTTTAAGTACGACCTCCACCCATAGCGTCATCAATCTTGCACAGCGAGGATACAATGCCCCGGCGCTGCTGTGACAGAAAATCATTTTCTGCGCACAATAACAGGGGCTCTAATCTACCCGGGGGCGTAAAGGGTAGGGTCGTTATGGCCCGCCTGGCCCCCCGGGGCTTTTGGAGTGTTCGATATACCATCATGCCCTCTGTGGGCTCCCATTATCACCTCCCACTCGTCGTGCACGCATCGAGCTGAAACCGTGCGACGATACCGACAAAAACACCCTATACCGACCACCGCGCTGCTCCGCCTACGTCATGTAAAATGCCACATATTTTTTTTTTTTCCTTTCCTGGAGTCCGTGCGAGCACCGTGTGCGTGGAAGGATGACAAAGGATGACAGCGACCTTTTGGTCGCGCAATTTTTAAATTTTTCACAACACAACGTGTCTAGGCCGCGGCGGGCAGAACGCACACACACACCGCACCCCATGTGTGAGAAAGGAGTTAGCGCCGCGTACATTATTGAGCCGAGCGATGTTTGCCCGATGCACCGCTAAACAACGACGCGCTAATGCGCGTTGGGGCCGCGGCACGCGCGCCGGGGGCGTAACGTCGGGGCAAAGAGGGG